AACGTCTTACTCAAGCATCGTCTTTAGTATTCCAAGTTTATTTCACCAAAGATCCATTCATCTGCGCGCATACACCAAAACGTTTCTGTAAGTTTTCGATGAATCTTCTAAGAAGTTCTGTTTGCCCATTAAGGGCTTCATTTCTTCTCGTATTCTGTTTTGTATTTCCATAATTATTGCCGGCACTCTCGATTTTAGGAATCCTCATAAAAAGGTGTCAAGGGGAGTAAGATCTGGACTGTTAGGGGACCAGAGTATTATACTTCTTTTTCTATCCAGACATTGTATTAATTTTGCTGCCATTATGATATCGATCGCATGTGGTAATGAATAAAATTAGGTGATTCTTGAATTCGTTCTAACATAATGCGGCGAAACTCAACACGTCTCTGTTTGTCTTCATCCATAAAATGTTGAACTTTTGCCAACTTATAAGAGTGCATTTTATTTATAGATGCTCCAAAACGGAATATTGTCAATGCTAGTTTTTGCAATTCAAATTAATACACTCTAATTTTTGTACTTGAAATTCTCGCCTAGAAAGTATGACAAAACATCGAGTTCTTCATCAACATTACGAGTATCTACTATAAGTATTATTAAATTGAATCACTCTGTGAGAATATATTCTCCTATACTCAATGCGAGCAGTAGCCTTCTTTTGGTTACATTTTAAAAATACCGACAAAATTGTGTATATGCCATTTTAATATATAGTGACAGTTAACTACGCCTATTTCCATGACAACCTCTATCATGTCCGGTTTGATTTTTCAATAATTATAATTGACTTCCTTACATCTAATATTAGATAAAATACGCGATATTTCAAAATCTATCAAAAATAACCCGAAACACTCATATATATTTGAAATCAGGAGAAAAAATGCAATCAATTGACACATTCAAACACAGAGTATTCAGTTCAAAAAAAAAAACGTAAACCTGTGAAAGTTTCACAGATAAAATTTTTATTATATATTTTTGTTTGCAGAAACGGAAGGTTTAGAAAAAATCCTCCAATTTTGGCAATTTAAACTTCAATCAATATTAACAAAGTTATTCATTTGGTAAGAGTTTGAAGATTTTTGCTCTACTATCTTATGCAAATGTCAGAAGAAGCAAACAACGATCGCAAGCTGTCAAAATGGCAGCAACATCTTTTTTTAAAAGAATGCTCTATAAATTATTATCTTCAATCGTAGATCTTTTTTCTTGATTTCAAAAACATATAGTTCATTGACATTTCATTTAGGCGTTTTTGAGATATTTCATTTTAAAATTGATTCTCAATCGATTTCTGGACAATAGCGAAATAAATGTCAGGTCTGCCTTGATAGCAACCATATTATCCACGTTTGCAATTGTTTCAGCAATATTCTACTCTTCACAATTAATCAAAACTAAAGATCAGCAGCGTAAGTTAAATAACTTAAGATATTTCAAATGGGTTATACTGAGGAAGAAAAACGCCAAATAATAAAATTATATTATTCAAACAATAAAAATATCTATAATTAATTTTAATAATTTTCCACATAACCTCCATCGTTACATTATTACATCGGACAATATTTCCTTTCAATTGCCTATTAATACAAGAGGTGATAAAATCAGGGATTTCTCTGTTGATCTTGTAAAGCTATATTAAGTTTTTCTCTTATCATTTGTAAACTTTCAGACCTATTATAATAAATATAATTTTTTAAGTATCTCTGCAAAAAAATGTTACAAGGATTAATTTGATAGTTCCTTATCTACCTATCCAAAGTCTATATTAATTATTGGGCTGTTCGGAAAGTCATTTCGTTTTTTTTGGGGAACATGAAAGACAGTTTTCGTATAATGAATAAATATTTTATTAAATTATATATTGGCCATTCTGGTCCAACACCTTTTGTCATCTTTCTGGCAGTAACATAATTCCCCTCTCATAAAAGTTTTGGTCCTTGCTGGCAAAAAACTGGTTCAGGTGGTTTTTGACATCTTCATTTGAGGTAAAGGTTTTGCCATCCAAAAAATTTTGCAGGGACCGGAACAAATAGTAGTCGGAAGGCGCCAGATCTGGAGAATATGGTGGATGTTGCAGTACGTCCCATTCAAGCTGTAAAAGTTTTTGGCGAGTGACCAAACTTGTGTGAGGTCTCGCATTATCCTGGTGGAACACTACACCCTTCCTGTTGATTAATTCGGGCCCCTTCTCTTTAAGTGAATCATTCAATTTGTCCAGTTGATGACAATAGACTTCTGAATTAATCGTTGTATTGTCCGGCAAAAGCTCAAAAAAAACGACTCCTTTGACATCCCACCAAACGGAGAGCCCTTTTTTTGGTGAATGTTGGCTTTTGACACGCTTTGAGCCGGTTCATCTTTTCTGCTCCATGACCTCTTGCGTTTAACATTGTTGTATACAACCCATTTTTCGTCCCCAGTAATAATCCGCTTCAAAAATGGATCATTTTCTTGACGTTTGAGGAGCGAATCACACACGTCAACGCGACGACACAAATTTCGCTCCGTAAGGACATGGGGCACCCACACATCGAGCTTCGAGGTTAAACCCATGCCTTTCAAATGGCCATAAACAGTCGAATTCGACAAATTTAATCTCTCACCGATCTCTCGTGTGGTTATTCGCCGATTTGCATCAACTAATGCCTTTATCGCATCTTTGTCAGCTTCGACCGGCCTTCCAGACCGTGGTGCATCTTCGACATCAAAATTGCAGGATCGAAATTTTGCAAACCAGTTCTGGTACTGGCGTACTGTTAACACGCCTTCTCCATACACATCCGTCAATTTTTTTCTCGCTTGGACAGCATTTTTACCTTTTCTGAAGTAAAAAAGTAAAATATGACGAAAATGCTGCTTATTGCTCTCCATATTTTAAAGGGCACCAACCAAAAACTACTGCGTAGAATTAATAGAACTTTTTCACATACAAGCCTTGCAATATCAGCTCTCAAGACATATAATGGTTATGCGGCTTAAGTGTGAAGTTGGTTTCGAAAAAACGTAATTAAGTCCTCTGACGGGAAAAAACGAAATGACTTTCCGAACAACCTTATATTTAGATAATCGGTAACCGGTTGGACATTATGTGGAGGTGCGCCATCTTGATGCAAAATTAAATTTAAATAATTCCTAAATGGCACATTTTCTAAGAACTGTTCAAGGATCCTTCGTATATAATTGGTCCGACCACCATATTGTTCAACATACCACACCATACATTAACTGACATCCGTCCTCGGATTTTCTCTGCCTGCATTTTGTGTGGATTATTGGTGGACCAAAAATTTTTATTCTTCGTATTAAATACACCTGCTGTTATGAACGAAGCCTCATCCATACATATTATTTTATTTAGAAAATTTCCATCTTCTTAAGATCTTCTATATACTTCAGTGCAAAATTCTCGACTCTGCCTTTTATGTTCTTCGCTTAAATTTTGCGCTGGGAGGAACGTATACGGGTGAAACTTATACTTTAGCGTTAGTTGAATTTTGCTATAGGACTTTCTGCATTTTTTTTAACGTCAGGTATAGACTATTCAGGATTTTCTAAAAATATGAAATATATGAATTAAGAACATAGAACTCAAAGTTATGATGTCAAGTATCGTAATAGTGTAATATATTGAGGTCTTCATCAAAATTCCTTTCTATTGTCCAGATCTTCAGTATGACACTATTTCAGTACTCAAATTGTTTAATTACATTTTTAATTATTGTATTTATTGAAGTAGCTCTTCTACACGGATATATTTTTCGATATTTTCTTTTAACCCTCCCAACACCTACGCCCGTTTGGCGTTTTTCTTCCTCAGTATTTGAAATATTTTAAGATATTTAACTTACGCTGCATATTTTGAGTAGTTTTCAAAAGTAGAACATCGTTAAAATAATTGCAAACATAGATAATACGGTGGCTATCAAGGCAGACTTGGACATTTTTAAACAATGTGGCTATTGTCCAGAAATCGAATGACAATTATTTTTAAACTGAAATATCTCAAAAACGGGTAAATGAAATGTCAATAAACTATATCTTTTTGAAATCAGGAAAAAAAAGTTCTACGATTTAAGCTAATAATATATAGGACATCCCGTTTAAAAAAAAAATTATGTTGCTATTTGTTTGACAGCTTGAGATCGTCGTTTGTTTTTTCTGACATTTGCGTAAGATAATAGCGCAAGAATCTTCAAACTTTTGCATTTACACTTTTTTAATCTTTCAAAATCAACCATGTATTTGGGTGTCAAAATATAATGAATAACCCAGTAAATACTAATACCAACTTTATACAGTTTTTTTATCGAAGTCTTTTTTATTTTGTTAAAATTCAGGTTTAATTGCTAAAATTCATCATTTGCACTGAAACTAACCTAGGTGTTTATTATTGAACCACAATCTAGAAGAGTGTCCCCAGGAAATCATGTTACCGCAAAGGGTATGGAGCTTTCGGGATATTGGTATATTGCACATACATCCGTATTATCAAACGTTACAGAGAGACAGATCAGCGCTTAAGATGAGCTGGATCGGCCTAACTACTCCAGTGTCTCTGCTTTAAAGCAATGGTTTACAACAGGAAGATTGCTGAAGACACAGCTGCAAGAAGCAGATGAACTCAGAATTTCAACTGGTACTGTTCGTGGACCCCTAGCTGAAGCTGGCAATACATAATAATGAGTTCAATAGATCTCCGGTCCTACTGTACTAAATGTTTAAAGAACAGTGGCGGATCGCTTTCTTCTTTAACAAAGCGGTTACCTCTATCTTTTGATAGCTTAAATATCCTGCGTCGGTTTTTGCTCAGTCGAAACGTCAGCAATTTCGACTAAGCAAAAACCGACGCAGGAGGAATCCAGAAGTTTTTTAGAAAGCAGTAGAAGTTTCTTTGAACAATCAATTACGCAGTTTTGTTAAAATTATAATTAATTTTTCGTCGGATCTTGAGAACCCAAAGGTACTAATGTTTTTGTTTTTGGTTGCAGATTCGATTGCGGCTCGGGTATCGGAGTAGTTAGATCCGACGAAACGGTACTTTTAAACCAATGGAACCACGTGTCATTGTACAGGCATCGATGGGACGCGTGGCTACAGCTCAACAACGGTAAACATATACAAGGAAGAAGCAAGGGCCTATTTTCTAGGTAAGTTGTTCTTCATCCGGCAACGTCATCGTTTTTGAAATTTGCAAATAAACAAAAAATGTTTTACAAATGATCTGGATTCCTTCTGGGTCCTTACGCGAATGGGTTCATCAGAACTTATCTGAAACGGGTACCTCTATACGCCCTTATATACTATTTGAGGGGGGCGGAGCTAAAAGAAACAATTACGTTAGATACCAGACACAGCTATGGGTTCTTAATAAATAATAAATAATTTTAAGAAGAAAACCCTCGACACCTTCCGTCTAAAACTGTAAAACTTCCAATTAAAGTGAGTCCTCACATTAGGCCCTTCAGTTTACAGAAATGCTACGCCCAAAAACAGATAAAGTCTGTTCATAGATATAAGAAAGTGACTAACTGATATGAATTAAGGAAAGACCCGGGCAAGCTGTAAGAATGAAATATGGCCGAACAGGTCCGTACTTTGCTTAGAATTTAATTATTTGGGGTTTTGTTAGGAAAGATACTGAACAATATTTATTTATTTATGTATGTATTTATGTTTAAACCTAAAATAAAATTACAATTTATTTTTATTACCTACTTAAATTATTTAAAATTATTCACATAATATATCAGTATCACTATCGCTATCATCGCCTGTTCTAATTATTATTTGTTCTATATTATTTGCAACATGGATATATGATTGGTCTGCTTTTTCCATATGTTTAACAGAATTTGCCCAACTTTGAGGAGGGATGTTAAAAACTTCGGTTTCTATAAGTTTGAGGGCTTTGGAGTTAACACGGTGAAAAACATTGTTACAACGAATGGCAGATTTCAGTTATTGCCAAATATGTTCAATGGGATTAAATATACAATGGTAAGGTGGAAGCCTTAAAACTGTATGCCCTAGATTTTTTGCATAATTATCACAGACGTATTACTTTTGTAGGTTCAAGCTTTGTAGAACCTCAATTAATTGCTTTTTGGTATAATCTTCGTGAAAATAAATGTCGTTATTATACATGTAGTTTTGGATTGTTGCTTTTGTGTCACATGAGGAAGGGGTTTTAGTCAACTGCCTACTGTGATAACTTGCATTGTCCATTACAATTACGCTATTAGTAGGAATGTTTGGAACTAGTTTGTTTTTAAACTAACTTTCAAATAAATCAGCGGTGGTGTCTTCATGGTAATCCAGAGAAGAATCTCTAATATTTTTCGCAGACAGAGAAAGTCCACTTAGAGTCCAACCATCTTTAGAGGCAGTATGCAAAATAGTTATTCTTTTACCTCTTTTTCATGGCGCGTTTGTTTTACACTTATCAGTTGAGTCAACCCAACCCTTTTCCTATCATAAGTGTCAAACCAGGTTTCATCCAAGTAAATAATTGGCCTTTGTTGTTCTCTGTAAATCCTACTTTTTTCTAGATATTCCAGTCGCCATTTCCGATTTCTAATAAATTCCATTAAAACTTGGCTTTAGTCAATTTTTTTAAATTTAAAACCCATGTGTTGAATACACTTCCATAAGGTAGTTCTGCCACATTTAACACACATTTCATCTACACTCGAGAAAATGTCAGCATCGCTTCTTTTTTTCGTCGCTGAAATGGGGTTATTCACAATTTTCCATACAGTTGATGTTGGAACTTTCGTCAATGTGGCCGTTTCTTCTAAAAATACTTGCTTGCTGGCACCACGTTCAATGAGAGTCAAATAAACATTGTTTATAACTTCCTTAGTCTCAATACAACAATGTTTTCTACATTTGGGCGGGAGCATCTCCTGAGATACACTGACTCGCACATATTTTGCATAATTGGCAGACGATTCAATACACGCTGTATTACACACGAAATAAGAATGAGATTACTAATAAACTTGAACTAAGTAGTATACCAAACCAAAGAGTATTAAACACAGGTAGGTATAAAATTATTTTCTATTACGGAGCACAATTTTACCTGAATTTAAGTTCCGAAACTTTAGTTAATAATCTTGTTGCATTGTATGTTAACGACCACCCTTGGATAATCTTATTCAAAAGCAATTGGTCACCATAATGGACATCGATTTTTTCAAGGCTGATGAGTCGGAAATTTCGGAGTGGATGGCAACCTCTTCCAACCCGTTTTCTATTCGTGCTGCTTTTGCCGATGATTTAAAAGTAAAAAAAAAGAGATTCGTTCACATTTAGATGTATTGGAGCTCCAGAACGATCTTGACAGATTTACTAATTATAGCAGAAAGCACGGATTATCCTTAAATCTTGATTAATGTCGATATATTCTATTTACAAGGAAAAAGGATTTTATAAATATTAACTTAATGCGTGATAATAAACAGCTAGAAAAAGTTAAGCAAGTAAAAGACGGGAATTGTTTTTGACTCTCAGTTCAACTTTGAGGCTCATATCGAAACTATTGTCAAAAAATGTTTGAGAAAGCTGGGCTTCATTTTGAGGACCAGCCACGGGTTCAACAAGCAGCAGTCAATAATAATCTTGTATAATAGACTGATAAGGTGTGTACTAGAGTACTGCGCCACAGTTTAAAATCCTATTTATAGTAAATAAATCATCAGAATAGAAAGTATACAAAAAAAAACTTTTTTAACAACTTAAACTTTAGATCACTTTGGAAGAAAATTTTAAAATTTTACAACTTAAAGTTGCTTGAAACTCGTTTTGATGTCGCTTTTCTTTAAGTTGTAAGTAATTTAATACTTTTTCTATTGAGCGATTTAGATCGAGTTACTTTTCTTACTCGCCTATAATAAGATGTGCTCGTGCTCGGACTTTTAATAATTGTATTTTTCAAAACGGCATAGATATAGATATGGTTAATTTAAACCTTAGTTTATTTAAAACAAACAAATATAAACTTCTTTAGCTCGTAATTATAATTTATTTAAATCTAAAATTTGCCTTCATTGTCGAGATAAGAAATTTACTGCTCACGTTATTGATTTTGTTTATTTATTTATGTATTTATTCATTTCAACGGCTGAGCCAATTTACAAAGAAAAAGGAACAATTTAAATATAATATAAATATAAATAGCAACATGACAAAAGAACAACTTAAGATAACAAGCTTTTTAAATAACCATATAAAACATATAAAAACACAAAAACAGTAAGAAACAGTAAACAAACAGTATCACACTAGTTACAACAACAATTAACCACCTGTTTCAATCTTGTTTTAAATAGTCGAAAACCGCCAGCAAAGGGATCAAAAGAGCAACTGTTAAATAACCTCAAGTTTCGAGTTAAAGGGGAAAAATAGCCATAGTATAAGGGTGTTCGGAAAGTCATTTCGTTTTTTCCCGTCAGAGGACTTAATTGCGTTTTTTCGAAACCAACTTCACACTTAAGCCGCATAACCATTATATGTCTTGAGAGCTGATATTGTAAGGCTTGTGTGTGAAAAAGTTCTATTAATTCTACGCAGTAGTTTTTGGTTGGTGCCCTTTTAAATATGGAGAGCAATAAGCAGCATTTTCGTCATATTTTACTTTTTTACTTCAGAAATGGTAAAAATGCTGTCCAAGCGAGAAAAAAATTGACGGATGTGTATGTAGAAGGCGTGTTAACAGTACGCCAGTTCCAGAACTGGTTTGCAAAATTTCGATCCGGCAATTTTGATGTCGAAGATGCACCACGGTCTGGAAGGCCGGTCCAAGCTGACAAAGATGCGATAAAGGCATTAGTTGATGCAAATCGGCGAATAACCACACGAGAGATCGGTGAGAGCTTAAATTTGTCGAATTCGACTGTTTATGGCCATTAGAAAGGCATGGGCTTAACCTCGAAGCTCGATGTGTGGGTGTCCCATGTCCTTACGGAGCGAAATTTGTGTCGTCGCGTTGACGTGTGTGATTCGCTCCTCAAACGTCAAGAAAATGATCCATTTTTGAAGCGGATTATTACTGGGGACGAAAAATGGGTTGTATACAACAATGTTAAACGCAAGAGGTCATGGAGCAGAAAAGATGAACCGGCTCAAAGCGTGTCAAAAGCCAACATTCACCAAAAAAAGGTGATGCTCTCCGTTTGGTGGGATGTCAAAGGAATCGTTTTTTTTTGAGCTTTTGCCGGACAATAGAACGATTAATTCAGAAGTCTATTGTCATCAACTGGACAAATTGAATGATTCACTTAAAGAGAAGAGGCCCGAATTAATCAACAGGAAGGGTGTAGTGTTCCACCAGAATAATGCGAGACCTCACACAAGTTTGGTCACTCGCCAAAAACTTTTACAGCTTGAATGGGACGTACTGCAACATCCACCATATTCTCCAGATCTCGCGCCTTCCGACTACTATTTGTTCCGGTCCCTGCAAAATTTTTTGGATGGCAAAACCTTTACCTCAAATGAAGATGTCAAAAACCACCTGAACCAGTTTTTTGCCAGCAAGGACCAAAACTTTCATGAGAGGGGAATTATGTTACTGCCAGAAAGATGGCAAAAGGTGTTGGACCAGAATGGCCAATATATAATTTAATAAAATATTTATTCATTATACGAAAACTGTCTTTCATGTTCCCCAAAAACAACGAAATGACTTTCCGAACAACTCAATATAAGCCAATACTAACTGCGACTCATGTAATGTTTCGTTATAATTATAACAAGGGAAGTGAGGTTCTTGATCGCTGTTCGGCGACGATGTTCTCAAGACCCAGAAATCTTTCTTTCTTTTCCGTGTCCAGGATCACCATTATGAATAAAGTATTATTCTAAATATTTCGCTCCTAAAATTTGGCCACCTGAAGGGCCTTGTCGTTACATTTGAGGAGGTCGTCGTGAGAGCAAATTGTGCCAAGCAACCCGCACTGCAACAGATGATTGTAGTTCTGTTCCAAGCCGCAGTCACAGGCAGCATTGTCCTGAATGTAACCCCAGCGTAGCAGGTTTGTTTTGCATCTTGTGACTCCTGTGCGTAGCCGATTTAAAGACTTCCAGGTTGCGAAGGGGAGTTCGTCACCACAGCTTATACTTTCTTTCAGATCTAAGAGCGGATTTTGCACTTTCTCCTGCCATAGATTTAACCTTCGTTGTTCAGGTGTGGTAGTGAGAGGTACTGTTGAATGGATAAAACTCCTCCTTGACTTGAGCCTTGCTGCTACTGGCTGGTGGTGGAACAGAGGGTGCCTTGGGTCACTGATTTGCTTTTTCCGTTCTATTTCTGCCGCCACAGTTCTTCGGATGGGTGGCGGCGCTATTCCTATAATTGGGAAAATCCTTTCAGCAGGCGTAGGTTTGAGGCAGCCTGAAATTATTCTCCCAGTCTCATTAACTGCAGTGTCAACATGCCTGGAATGTACAGAATTTGCCCAAACTGGGGCAGCGTATTCTGCTGTGGAGAGGCAGAGTGCAGCAGCTGAGGTTCGCAGGACACCAGGTTTAGCCCCCCATCTTGTACTTGTCAATTTGCGTATAATGTTGTTTCTAGCAGCCACCTTCATCTTCGTATCCTGGCAGTGTGCTCTGTATGACAGCGTTCGATCCAGTTTGACACCAAGGTACTTAGGCCAGTCACAGTGCTCAAGTTCTTGCTGCATCCAATTTATTTTCAATTTCCTGTTGGCTTCTTTATTTCGAAGATGGAAAGCGCACACCTGAGTCTTAGATGGATTGGGTTTAAGGTTATTCTGTTCATAATACAAACCAAGGTTTCCAAGGTACTGGTTAAGCTCTTCCTCCACCTTCCCAAAGGTCTTCCCCTGTACAGCCACCGCTGTGTCATCAGCATATATGAAACGTCTCACCTTGGAACTATTTGGCTGATCATTCGTGTAAATGTTATATAATAAGGGTGCAAGAACGCTTCCCTGTGCCAAGCCGTTCTTCTGTTGTCTCCATCGGCTATTTTTCCCCTGCAATGTTACATAGAATCTTCTATTCTGGAGAGTGCATTCGATAAACTTTGTGAGCCTGTAATCTTTAGTGAGATTATATATTTTGTGCGTCAATTTTCTATGATTGATGGTATCATAAGCTGCACTTAAATCAATGAATGCAACTCCTGTCACCTGGCCCCTCTCATACCCATCCTCTATGTGCTGTGTCAGGTTGAGGATTTGCCCACAGCATGATCTGCCAGGTCTAAAGCCAGCCTGCTCCGCGATCAAGGATTGATCGATTTTCTCAGAGATCCTGTTGGATATCATCCTCTCCATGCACTTGAAAAGATGACATAGTAGAGAGACAGGCCTATAGTTTTTGCAGTTGTTTGGCTCTTTCCCCGGTTTCAGGAGTGCTATCACTCGTGCTCTCCTCCACTCTTTGGGAATTTGCATAGTGTCGACACAGTTATTGATAAGATTGAGCAGCCATGTTCTTGTCTCTGGTCCAAACTGTTTGATTTGCTCAGTTCTTAGGTCATCAACACCTGCTGCCTTATGCTCCTTCATCTGTTTGATAGCCCCTTGTAGCTCTTGCGATGTGAATGGCGTATCTAAGGAGTGGTTTTCACTCTCCAGCTCTCGTTCAATCTCTATTATCCTGTTTTTCCCTGCAGTTTTGCCATTTAGGAGGAGCTGGTGGGCAATCTGATTGGCTGTGACATCACCCATGCTTGATTTCTTTGTTGTTGGATCATTGCTTAGATTCTTTAGCAGCTTCCAGGCTCGACGACTGTTTCTCTTCATATCCAACTGTTCAAGGAGGTTGCACCATCTTTCCTTTCTAGACTCTGCTATGAGCTAGAAATATTCGAACGTAAGGTGGCCTTCCACCTTACGCCAATTGATCGGACGTCGTCAACACTGCAGCGCAACCGCCTCTCTTGCCTTCCTGTTACCCACTGCTCACCTCAGTCCGCCTTAACTTCCCGTCGTCCAGTACTTCCCCTCGCAACCCCACGGCCGTCCCTTCGTGATTCCGCCACTCGCGCACTTTAGAGAACTTAAACATAAAAAAGAAACAAATAATAACAAAATAACATAATATTCATGCGATATGTTACACTCACCAATATGGGAATCAGTCATCCAAAACAATGTTCATGCTCCTCCTTTAGCTCCGCCCCCTTCAAACAAGTATTAAATATAATAAATAAATAATATAATAAATTAAAAGTCTCCTTGAAAAATTGAGGTTTTTCTTACTCCACATTTTTCCGAAACAGTCCGCCATATCCTTCGTTATTTTTTTTTATTGGTTTATCGTTGCAGAATAACTTTTCGAGAGCCGTTATTTATCGGCGGCCCCGGAAACACCACAGGCCTCGACGAAAAACTGCCAGTAACGAAAGGGCTGAAGGGCTGCATCCGGCATCTCGAAGTCAACGACCACGTCTACAAGTTCGCCCTCGAGCCGAGCGGAGAGTCCATTAAGGGCTACGGAATCGGTAAGAATGTTTTTTTTTCCTTTAAAGCTTGAATTTTTTATTGGTCGGGGCATGTATGGTACGACCAAAAATATAGTGCATTTATTGCTTTGACGTTTTAAGTATTTTACTTAAACTTTAAATTTTTTTTTTGAAACGTAAATGGACCGTTTTAAATTAAATTAAAATTAATTCTTGCAAAAAAAACTTACCTTAATCAAAAACTCAATTATAAAATCTTCGAGCATGCACTGTAACATATTATTCGGAATTTCTTTGGCACTACCCTTAAATATCGAGGAATTTTTAAGCTTCTCACTCAGAGTTATTCAGATAAGTAGACGAAATAGCCCGGGATTCTCTGAAGTTTCGCTCTCATCATGTATGAAGAGAGACAATTCAAAAGCTCGGCAAAATTTAATATAATTATTAATTTTATACTGATGCAAAGAACGTTAAATACAAAATGTATTTGACCCTAATTATATATTTCATTTATAATAAGGGGTGTTTTTTTTCGATGTATAGAAGTTTAAGTTGCAATAAAACAACGATGGACTATTCGATTGACATGAATTTTACTTATCCGAAAGATAATCTTGTGGCATTACATTTTAAATATGATTTCTGGCATATGACCGCCACGGCTGGCGCGGATGTAGTTCAATCTGGACGTCCAATTTTCGATGATTTTTTCAGCATTTGTGGCCGTATATCGGCAATAACACGGCGAATGTTGTTTTCCCAATGGTCAAGCGTTGTTTTCCCAATGGTCAAGCGCATAGGCCAATGACTTTACATAGCCCCACAGAAAGTACTCTAGCGGTGTTAAATCACAAGATCTTGGAGGCCAATTCACAGAGTCAAAACGTGAAATTAGGAGGTCACCAAACGTATCTTTCAATAAATCGATTGTGACACGAGCTGTGTGACAGGTTGCGCCGTGAAACCACATATCCTGGACATCATGGTTATTCAATTTAGGAATGAAACAGTTAGTAATCATAGCTCTCTACCGATCACCATTGACTGTAACGTTGTGGCCATCATCGTTTTTGAAGAAGTACGGACCAATGATTCCAGCAGCCCATAAAGCGCAGTTTTTCTGGATGTAACGGTGTTTCGATATACACTTGAGGATTAGCTTCAATCCAAATGCGGCAGTTTTGTTTGTTGACGTAGCCATTCAACCAGAAGTGCGCTTCATCGCTAAACAAAATTCGCTTATGAAAATCGGGAACAACGGCAATCTCGTTTTGGGCCCATTCGACGAATCTACGCCTTACTCGATGATCGTTTGGGTTCAATTCTTGCACGAGTTGGATTTTGTAAGCACGTAAACCAAGATCCTTCCGCAGAATCTTCCATAAAGTGGATGGACACAGATAAAATTCCTGTGCTCGATGGCGGATGGACTCGTTCTTCCTCTTCCTCAATGCTACGCTCTACAGCAGCAATAGCTTCTTCTGTACACACCGTACAGCGTCTCTGGGGATGCGAGTTATCAATAAGAGTAAACGTGGTGCGAAAACGTACCATGGTTAATCGAATTAACTGCTCTGATGGACGATTTTGTCGACCATAAAATGGACGTAGTGCGCGATACCTATTCCGCACAGAACCATTATTTTCGAAATAAAATTGCACTATTTGCAAGCGTTGTTCAGGCGCGAGTCTGTCTATTCATGATGAATTGCCAAACCAAACTGAGAATAAATCACTTGACAGCTGTTAAATCGGTCGCCATCTTGAACAGTAATGCCAAGTTAAAGTTCTACACATCGAAAAATAACACTCATTACTTTTATTTGTACAGGGTGTTGCGTCGTGTCAGGACAGTAACCAACTTTTTTTTTATGGAATGCTGTGAATATTTTTAAAAATTCTAATTACTCGCTGGATTTGGGGTATTTTTGTCATTTCATAGCATACGAAATTTTGAGTAGTTTTTAAGAAAAATGAACTTTTTCGTATTTTTGCCGAAAAACTTTTTCTTTGGAAAATTGTGTTTGGGAAATTTTATTGTGGATCCATCGAAGTTAATATTTAATGCTTTGGTGGAACATCCTGCATTTTAATTGTATTTGAGATTTAATTCTGTATTATTTCATACTTTATGTCCCGGTGTTATAAATTAGATAAAAAATGTAATTAATAACATACCAGTTGAGAGCTGGACAAATTCAGTATAGCACATTATGAAAATTGAGGACTCTTGACTTGATATTTAGAATAAAAATATACTTCTGTATAGATAGATATTCCTAGCTATGAATTGTTTTTTCATAGGGTCATTTAATAAGATTATAAATAAACAAAAAAAATTATTCCAAATCCTTGTTGAGTGCGTCCCTAATTTTCTGTCCTTTAATACCTACTGGACCCGAATTTCATTGCGGGCAAAAGCCAGCACAATATAGACTGAGACAGACTATAATAGTTGTTTATTGGTGCGTTTATGGTATTCGGAATTTTCATTTGACCTGGTAACAATACTCAACGAATTAATGGTCTTGTCATTGGATATTATACCTGTTAGACAATAAAGTTTATTATTATTATTATTATAATAATTATTATTATTATTATTATTATTATCAATAATAATATTATTATCATTATTTCTAATGCCTATTCGCAACCGTGCTCTCGGTAATTCATTTCCATTTTTCAAAAACAATCCCTGTTCCTCAGAATAAATGGTTTATATCTCCCTATCCTAGGGCACGTCGGATGATGTGTGCTGTCTTAAGGAGAGTAGTTTTTCGCAGTGTCGCAATAGTGTTTTAGTTGTTACCCACTCTGTTACTCTTTTATTGTGGCTTCTGATGGTATGGCAACGTCGAGAAATGTTTTTAAAGCCCTAATTATATCTGGTTTATTTGCCATCACAGTCCTGTCTGTTTGTACTTGCGTGTATTGTGATTTCCCCTTTGGCTTCAACGTTTTTTGGCTTGTGTTTATACCAAGCGTCCTCTACATCTATTCCGTAGTGCTTACAGATATAGTTAAAGGATGTTCTAGTATGATATTTTCCAAATTATCAATAAAAATCTCGGCTAACAAAGGACTAAGAACATCCTTTAAGTAAAAGTTTTTTATGGTGGTATAGATATGTGGACGATGTCTTTGCTTGCTTTGTTGGAACGGACAGACAATTGAATTCTTTTTTAAAATAACATAAACTGAATACTTAATCGTATAAAAATCACTATCGAGATTGAACAGGGTAACTCTATTAATTTTTTAGGCTTAACTATTACGAAAGTGCAAAATAAATTAGATTTTTCAATATATCATAAACCTTCACACAAGGACACAGTCATACATAACAGTTCAAATCACCCTTATACACACAAAATGGCTGCATTTAACTCTTTTATACGCAAACTTCTTAATACGCCACTCTCAACAGAAAATTACAACGAAGAACGTAATATCATTAAACAAATAGCACTGAACAACGGCTACAATCCGTCCATTATAGATAAAATTATAAATAAAAAACAAATACAGACAACAGTAAACTCTATTTATCCGAAACCAAATACAGAACACGAACAATTTAAAACAATTACATACATAGGAGAGCCTAGCGAAAAAGTTTCAAAACATTTGTCAAAATGTGGTTTTAAAAATAGCTTTCAGAACTAACAACACAATAGGAAAATATTTAAAAAACAATAAGTCGAAATGTCCAAAATCCCAAAAATCAGGTGTCTACAGGTTGAAATGTGGATCTTGTCCTAAAATTTATATTGGACAAACAGGTAGATCCTTCAAGAAACGCATTAACGAACAATAAGAGCGTTTAAAAACAATAGTCTAGATTCTAATTATGCTACACACTTAAACACAGAAAAACACATTTTTGACGACAATTTTGATATTTTACACACAGCCACAAAAAGTAGAAAATTAAATTTATTGGAAGTCATGGATATTAACAAAATGAAACATTCAAATGTATTGCTTAACGATCAATTAGATTTAAATACCTCACCTTTATTGAACTTAAATTTTCGCAACAGCATTAATTATGGTTTTATGGTCATTTTTCGGTATATATAGTAGCAGGTAATTTGTAAATATTACATTTGACAAAGACACGGTATTGTCGAAATAATTGTCATGTAAATATATATAATTTCGTGAACATCTGAACTTTTAGTTCTTATTTATTTTGATAAATGGCTTTTCATCAAGTAAAAGCCACCTCAGTTCAAGTATTATCATTATTATTATTATTATTGTTATTATTATTATTATTGTTATTATTATGTCACGCAATTTGATAGTTTTGTGAACACCTATTCGAAAAACTTCAACGTAAAACGGCAAAGTGATCATTGTTCCTTCGGAACTACCTCGAAGTTGTCGGGCTCGTAGTTTCTGTTAAATAGAATTTCGCTTTGGCAAAAACGTCGTTATTCAATGCCCTCGCGAACCTCATAACTTTGAGCCGGATGCGAATAAATTTACATAAGGTACGGCGAATTCCCATCCCTTATAGCGACCCTATCGGAAAGTTTTACTTTATTTTGCGACGCGGCAAGCAAAGAAACGTCTACTTACATTTTTGACAATAATCTTCGAACTCGAAAGGATTTTCCGTGAATATGGAATTACCCGTACGCCGTACGTCATACGTTCTGTGCCTACGTGTAATAAGGGTCCGTGGATTTATCGCTCGCTGCGGTGTTTCGAATTCCAATCGCGAATTACCACGGCCGGTGATTCGACACGCGAAATAAATCATTTCAATTAGGTCGTCGCTTAGTCTGGGTCGCTTTTATTTACAAAGACTGATGCAGAACAGGTAATTTAGCGGTTGATGATTGATTGCCCCGTCATACCCGTACTGGGAAATTTTTAAGCTGAGTTGGGACCATGTTACAACAAACAAAGATGTGATATTGCGCATGTAGGCGGGGCCAACGGGTCACGTCACGCGTAGCTTGATTTGGAGGAATTCCCAACCAAATCTCATCGTTTATGAACCTTAAAGGTGAAAATTTCCA